ACTGATGCTTTGAAATCTCATACATGCAGTCCTCTTTCACAGTCTCCATAAAACTTCTCATTGGAATGTTTGGATCAGACCTAAATTTTCTCACATACTTCTTTGCCAGAAAACCTGAATTAACCCTTCTATTTTGCCACACCATGGTACATGTGTGCTCATCTACAAATGTGTTAATTCTAAGACTCTTGTCGGGTTGTTGGTACGCACACAAAACCCAAGGACAATTATCTTGACACCAAACTCTCAACTGTGTCGTCATATTTTTCACGTATCTCAGTTGCCTGGAATTTTTGACTGAGTATTGAACTACTGCATTCCTTAGAATCTTGACGTTTTCGAATTTCATCCCTAGCAGAAATGAATTAAACCACAATGCATTATCATCCAAATGAATTAAACCATAAATGAATTACACAAAACAGTGGACATTACCTAGCTTGAACTGTGGATCTTCCATATCAGTTGCAGGGTTAAACCAGCACCCATTCTTCCTTCTGGCAGATGATCCCTCAGCCTCGGTATCACTGGGTAAGCTTCTAAGTTCACTGGAGTCTTCGTATTCTGTTCCAGATTCTTCCCCAGCAGCTGCCTCCCGTTCCTGCACATCCCTTACACTTTCCTACTCACCACTTGCACCAATGTCAAAACCTTCACTCAACCTGAAATATGTGTTTTCATCATTATCCTCCATAGCAATATTTTCTTCCTGCTTGTACTCCGAGTCAGTGAATTCGTCTTCCAAAATACCCTCCTCATATTCATCATCCAGCTCAGGACCTTTACCAAACTCCACATCAGTTTCAGCAGCCTGTACCTCTGGTTCAGCATCATGCAACACATATTCAGCAGCCTGCTGCTGTGGTCCAGAAACGTGCACATCAATTTCAGCAGACTGCACCTCTGCTTCGGCATCATGTTCAACAGCCTATGCCTCTGTTCAACAGCATGCAGCTCCTGCTGAGCCTGCTGCTGTGGTTCAGCGTCATGCAGCTCATGTTCAGACCTCAACTGTGGTTCAACATCATGTGGTTTCTCTGGTTCAGCAGCATACACTTCTGATTCATGTGAGTCTACTTCAGCCCCTATAAAATCAACCTCTGTATACTCATGCTCTATTCCATGCACTGTATAAACTTCCTCTTCATCTGCTTCCATGTCATCCACTTCATCAACTACGTACACGTCATCACCTTCTACTGATTCATCAAAAATCTCAATTGCATAACATGGTTGCTGCTCATTCAATGCTTCACCAGACTTTTGAACCTTCACCAACTCCTCACCAGTCTCACAATCAAACACTCGAACATCCTTCTGTTCTATTTCATCCCAAGGCAACTCCAAAACCTCAACTACAGGCAAGCAATACAGTTCAGCTGTCCTATTATCACCAAGCCACTTCACTAAATTCATGAAATCTGAGTCTTTAACCAACCAAAATGAACCTTCACTCATTCTTTTCGTCTCCATCTTGTATAGATATCTAATTCTATCAGAATATCCTAACATCTTCACGGCATTTTCCAAAAGAAATCTATTGAAGAAATCAGGGTCGATATAGTCTATATAACTTATTTTCCTATACTCATACACAAAATTTCTCATCTTCTGCAATAAAATTCCACCATGATGAAGCCGTATGCTGAAGTACTTTGAATTTTCCCCTGTAAAAACACCGAAAAAAAGGAAGTTAAGCCCTAGCCTTTTCAGTTCAAGCAACGATCATGTGCAGAAAAGATACTATACAAGCATTACGCTCTAATACATCAAATCACTTAAAATTTTTGAATTCCCCAGTACGTGAACACAATCGAACAGGGGAACTTCATAATCATACAACTTCACACCGTAAACCGAAAACAAGGGAAGATACTTACCATACACGAGTTGGGGAAGAGAGCCTCGAATGTGGGCTGCAATTTCCACTGGATGTTCGTCTTCTTCGAAGTCCGTTTCGTCTTCTTCATGGGTTTTTGCAGGTTCCATAGCGGATGGTGAGTGGACGGAAGTTGCAACGGATGTGTTTGATGTTGAGGAGGGAAATGTGTGTAATGACCATGTTGCCCTTCACTTATTTGGGGAAAATTCTTGAAATTATCATTAAAGAGGTCAACTGACGGTTTTGACAGTCAAACAGACGGAAATCGTCATTTTGGACTGACCCCACACATTTTTTAAAGGTTTAGTATCTTCGGTGGCACAAACTAAAGGTTTGGTACCTCGGCTGCAATTTTCTCTAAAAATATTAAGGAAAAAAAATCAAAATTACTTTAAGGATACATTTGATTGCAACACATGAAAGTTATACAGAAAGAAAATAAATTCGAGATAATTCAATTACCTAAAATTTATTTGTATGCAAATTATTAATTTTTTATGTTTGATTGATTTAATTTTTAATATGAAAATATTATCTTTGTTCATTTTTTATTAATGGGTAGATGAAAAGAGGGGATAGATGAAAAAGAAAGAAAGAGTTAATTACTTTGAAAATAAAAATTACACTCATTCAAGAAAATATTTTCCCTATTTTTAAGAAAAATATGATTACATTATCAAAAAGTTCAAAAATATTTTTTATGCAAAAAAATTAACAATCAACTTTGATGGAAAAAAAAAAGAGAGAGGACAATTTCCACTAAAAATAAAATCAATCAAACCTACTGAAATTAACCCCGAAATTACTGCAAAAAATGCAGCAATTCAATTGATAATGTACATTCGATTTGAATGATCTGCGAATTTGCAGAAATCGCAGATGAAGGAATCAACGTATATTCTACACCTCGACAGTTGTTTGATTTAAAGCAGTGTATCTCCATCGTTCTTTCTCCACAAAATCTGCATCAAGAAACCTCGAAACAAATGCCCAGATTCTGTACATATCATCAAAATTCGTTAACATCCCAATTGAAATCGTTACCACAGAAATCCTGTATGAATTCTTGTCTTTCTTCTTAGATTCTTTCTTTCTACTTCTTGTTTCCAACATTCTATGCTTCTCTTCTTCGTAAATTTCTGAGAACCAAATGTTTGTTAAAATGCCGCAACCAACAGAAATGTTGTTCCGATCAGCTAGCTTCTGTACAAGAGTGGGATCAACTTTTTCTCCTTTCCAGTCATATACATTGAATGCAACTGCTGGCCCTCTTTCTAACTTTATCTTTGGTCCGTAGATTCTGATCAAGGGGAGCCCATTTTCTGAATGTGGATGCTGAAGAGACATTAATGCGTTCACCAGCCAGTTTGTAAGGCATCTTGTTCTACTACTGATCAGTATTAGGCCTAGTGTATCTGCATGATCCAAACCCCGGCATTCGATTTCTCCTGAGGTTCTACCGGCATCGGATTCTTGGTTTCTTGATTGTGCTGTATGAGGGGTTTCATCCAACTCAATAATTTCAGAAACTGATGATTCTTTTAGGTGAATTTGTTCCGGAGTTTCTTCGATTTCTTGTTGTGATATTGCTGTTTCTTGTTCGTTTTCTGCCTTGTTAAAGGCTAATTGTTCAAACGATTCATTTGCTGGCAATAGGCTGACAATTCCCATGCTTGTGCAGGATTTGCACAACTCTGAGACACTGGATTTCTTAATAAACAGGCAGCAAAATCCCGATGGGTTTTCGTCAAAAACCTTGTAAAAGGAGCAAATTAGGAAGTCAGGTTGGAACAAAGAGAGTCCTAATGTTTCCATTTCCTTAGGTCCTAATGCACAGGCATCCAACAAAATATGCCATCCATTTTCCCTTGCCAGGCTCATCCATTGATAAGAATATCGCGCTCCAGTCATCCTCGACTGAAGAGGAAAAGCAAACAAACCCCGATTACTCAGCTTCCTCTTATTCACAACGAGTTTTCTGAGCTTTCTGGAATTGACCCTCAAATTAGGCCATGAGAACACTGCTGATATTGGTCGTGCACCTTTTTTCTTAGAGCTCTCGATCATCACTTGCACTGCCTCATTCTCATAATCATATACTGTAAGAAGGTTCTTATTAGACTGAAAAGGATAAGAGTCTGCTAGAAGCTTAAATGCAGATGACTGGTTGGCTGTGAAAACCATGTAATAATCCTCTTCGGAGACATTCATGAATTTCATGATTCTTTTTCGCGTTGAGGATTCGAATTCTGATTCTTGACCTCCATATAACAAGAACGAGTTCAAATTCACCGACTTGTATGAAATGTCAAAGAACGGTGAATCAGAAGGTCTTGGAGGGGTAGATGTTGAAGAAGAAGCAATTTCAGCCGTGAAATTATGTCCCTGCTGCTGGGAATAGGAGAAAAGACCATGGCCTATGTAATCTAGACACACATGATTTGAGACCACGATATGATTATATTCTTGAGCTCGAATATTATCTGCAAGAACGGTAGTCGAGTAGTATGGATATGCATTTTCAAGATAAGAAAACAATTCTATCGACGAAGGAAGGGACTCGTGATTAGTAAAATTGCTATTTGGTTGAATAGAGGCAAGTATGGCAGTTGTAAATTCATGTTGAGGATTGATACCACTGCTTGTTACCTTACTGGCCGAACTTCGAGTCTCTGGCAAGCCAATCAAAAGATTTGAGCAGCAATCATTGGAACAGGCTCTTGATACTTCTCTGATACAATTTGATTGCATTTTCCTTTCTAATTTTCGACTAACTCATAACCCTTTGTTGGTTTCAACTTCAATATCCTTTGTTTAATCCATTTTGCAGCTTGAAGTTTCATATTCTGAGCTTCAGACAGGTTGTCTGATGGGGAACTCAGCTTGACCAAGTCATTCATAGATCATAACGTGTTCTATGTTTCTTTTTATTTTATTTTTTATGTAGATTCTTATGTTTTGAGGTGACCCATTAGTGTACCTCTCAAATTTATAATTGAACCTTTATGGGTATTGGCTCAATCCACTGTTATCAATATGAAAGATTTTCATTTTTTATTCTTTTCCTTTTGGGAGGTGGGCTTGTTGACGTTTTTGTGCAGACTATAGAGTGAAAATTTTGTAATTTTCTTCAATATAGTGAGAAATCTAAGGCAGGGAGTAAAGATAGCCCTCTCATTCGAGAAATACTTCAGTCGGGCAGTATTGTCTACACATGAATTCGGATCATGATACCTTGGATCCTGAATTACTCAATTTATGATTTGAGTGGATGATCCTCGTACGAGTGCATATAGAACTGTCTATTTTTAATCTATGTTTTCTTTTGAGCATTTCTGATTTCATTTTGTTAGTGCTATTTGACGCGCATAACCAAACAATACAACACATTGAGAATATAATTAGTACACGATATCTTAGAAGACTTGAAAATGCCAAAAAAAAAGAAAAAAAAAAAAGAAATGGAAATCTTTTGTGTTATACTGTTTAATATTATCTAATATCACATATCAATACATGTCACCGGCCATAGATTCAATATTGATGCTAAAAAACCCCTTGGTGCATATTCCAGTGTTGCAAAGGACAATGGTGAGTTATACTCAGCCTTGCTGGTAGCCGCAGTNATAGAAAGGCACAATTTTTTTAGTACAGTATGGTCTGATTGATTCCAAAAGGATTAAAATATAAATAGAAAAGGGCAATTTGAGCTCCTCAAGTGACCGGCATCATCGATGCTGGCCAGAACCTTCTTTGGAATGATTTCAGAGCACGTTAGGCTACGTTTTTGTTTCTTTCTTTTTTAAATTACTTTTAAGTAACTTTTTTATCTGTAATTGAGTAAAATTTATCTACGTTCAATCAATTTTTAGAGAAATTTCAATGGGATCATTAAACTGTATATTGCATAGACAGGAACGATCATACAATATATTAAGGGCAAGTTTGATGTAGATTTTTTGTTATTAAATTTTATGAAAAGTAATTTTTTCGAAGAATATGTAATTAAAAAGTAGAAAAATATTTTGAATTCACATGCAAAATTATGGGACAATGTGTACATAGTTGAAAATGAATTTGAAAAAAAAAATGAATTTTATAAAATCTGTATAAAACATGGACTAATTATTCATCAGTAGGTTTGAGTCAAAAGTATTAATTATCTGCTCCAGTTAGGGTCATTGATTAGGAAAATAAGTTATAATGTCACCAACACAAAATGTTGATGACAACCCTTTTTGTTTGCATCAGTTCTTAAAGAATGTGATATATATAAAGGTGGAAAATAATTTGTGTGGCTTACGATTTAAATGGATTCAAGTAGACGTGTAAAAGTGGATTGGACGGTCCAAATTTGAGGCAGTCTATTATTACAAAATAGAGTTGCACTGAGCACAATGCCAATGTATGCGATTTACTTCAAATAATTAAAAGTAAGTGTGACCTTGGAGAAACACATAAGGAGCTTCTTACCAATTATATACTTTTTTTTTCAATGGAATGCCTGGAAAGTCAAGAGGAAAATAGGTGACTACTGTCGACCACGCACGAAATTGAAGGTGTAAAGGCAAATGCGCCTTTGAAGTGAAGGTTAGTGAGTTTTGAGTAAAAGTTTATTTAAGAGTGAGTTGAACTAAATCATAATCCAGTTTTCTTACCCTTAGAATGGTGAAATGGCCTCCTTTGTATAGTTGTTTGCTCCGAAGTAGCCCTTATCATGTCAAGCGAACGATGATGCATCGGTATTTGTTCCTCTCAAGTGTTTCCATAACCCCCAATTGGCCAATGAAGACAACACAGATCAGTCCATGTTAGCCTCATGTCTAGCAACTGACTAGATTGTCTTGTCAAGCCTTTCCATTGGTGGATATGGGCGAGCTTGTTGTCCAATTGAGGGACAAGCCGCTTATTTGGTGAGCCGTGCTATAGTACCGACATGGATGATCGTGGGGCCGACGCAATACACACACATGAGGGTCGAGATTATTTTATTCATGGAGGATCCACGTCGGGAATGTGAGGGCGCGAGCAACCGCGAGGTCATCCTTGCGTGGTCGTTTGGCTTTTTCCTATTTGGTGATGACTTAACTAATGTGTGGGTGATCTTAACAACTTTGCTCTGACCTTGAAGGATGATGAAGTGGGCGGTGTTATTAAGTTAATAATCATGAATTGGTTCATGGTGTTTCGAGATATTTTTACAATTTCGATGTACTGTTTAGCATTGATCTCATAAATTATCTTGATCATATGGTAGACCATCGATGGATCTAGCAACCGACGAGGTCTCGTGGTTGCTCGTACTGGCTCCGCTGCCAGACAAACGAGAAGTTCTTAAAGACTAGATACTGGAGTTTCGAGAAATGGATAGTTACTTATTTCAGTAAGTAGAACTTTTAGTTGAAGAAATCCTCCTCCATCTAGTTCCCATTTTGGGCCAAGAATGTTTCTTGTTTGAGCTTAGGGCTGGACAAAACTTTCGAACCGAATCGAGCGGTTCTTCTTAAGTTAAATACTCGAATGGGTGTCTGAATCGAGGATCGACATATTTAGTTCGGTTCTCGATTCTAAATCAAGAATCGAAGAACCGAATATTCCAATTTTTTTTAATTAATTTATTCTAAATAAGCGAAATTATTTTATTTTTTAAAATAAATTTGTTAACTAGTTAATTTAGCTCAAACATAAAATATGATTTTCCTATTTCCAATTTTCAGTACAAAGTCAACTCATTCAAATTGACCTAAGTATTATTTAAATCTGTTACTCTAACATAGTGTCGTTTCTACCATTCTGAAGAAATCGAAATGGAACTCAGCAAAGTCTTTCTTAATTATTGTGAACTCGCTATCTTCTTCTTTTTATTATTTTAACAATAAAATCTATGAAGAACTCAGTAAAAAAAGATGTAAAAGACACATAAGATTGAACTACGTTATTTTGTAAGAATTAAAATTGAACATATCATTAGTTGAATTAATATAGTTTTGTAAATATTAAAAAATTTAATTATGATACGAAATCTGGGAACTGAACTGAATCTAATAGAACCAAACTCGAATGATTCTATAATTAAATTTGGACCCGATGATTCCACCTATTAAATACCTGAAAATTTTGGATCCGGACCATGTCCAGCTTTATTTGAGTTTGAGCACTTGAAGATTGGGCAA